GGGGATCTTCCCCACCCAAAAATTGAAGCCTTATCTCCTATATCTCCTGCATTGCAGGCGAATTCTTTACTGCTAGAGGCATCCAGGAGCACACAGTAAGGAATCGCTAAAATAATAGTTCATTTAATCACATGTTAGTTAACACATCCTAAAGATTGAGATGTTAGTTTAGTCCTGCTTTCTCATTAAATGCCCTTAGTGATGACTGCAAAGCCCGTAACTTCAGTCCCCACAGAATTAACTTTTTCTAACTGGTGACTAGGGGAAGCTGATATCATTGCTTAAGAGTTCCCATGAAGCCTATATAAGTCAGGTAGAACAACACCAACACTGCAGCTGCCCTTCCCAGCTGCTTTCTATCTCTACAGATTTCCCTTCAGTACTTGGAGGTAGAATAATCCACCTAAAACTAGCAAGACAAACTTTCCACCTAGAGAGTGTGATGCAAAGAAAACAGGTTGCTTCAGTTACACTGGTTCTGAACAGTTAGGTCGAGTTTTGTGTAGACATGTCCTGGGTAAATTAAAGGGCCTGCAAAAGAGGTTGGTAGTGGCTTTTCATCCGTTCTACTCATCACTACAGCCTGACAAAGTGCAAAAAAGATATCATTCCTATACCACATATTCAACTGACTGAAAACCAATTCCAGAAAATCTTAGAGCAGAGCTGTATTCTCTACATATTGAAAAGCATGATAATAACATAGGTACAAAGGTGTGATTTTGCAGAAATGCTGAAGTACCTCTGGTAAAATATCACCAAATATATCTACTGTGACTTATTACCAAAAACTGTGAATAAGAACCAAGGGAACTTCGAGGGCTCTGATCTTCCTTGTAAAAAAATCAAGGTAAATGGGGCTATTTGATTAGTCAAACTTAAAAATAAATTTCTATTTCTACTGGAAAATAATACTCTCTTTTTGCTTTGTTTTTTGGCAACTGTTTTATTAAGTCAGACAGAATTGCATGTACATTCAGAGGCACAGCACTTGAATATTTATGTGAAAATTCACAACTGATAAATCATTCCACAGTAGACTTGACAGTTTAGGAGGACTGCACATAGTATTTTTCAATCTTTTAAAACCCATGCCTCCTTTTTAAAAAAATTTCTAATAATTATTTTTTAATTTATTTATTTTTATTTGGATGGTAATTGCTTTACAACACTGTGCTTATTTCTGCTATACATCAACATGAATCAGCCATAGGTCGACATATTTCCCCTCTCTCTTGAACCTCCCTCCCACCTCCCAATCCATCCCATCCCTCTAGGTTGTCACAAAGTACCAGAAAATAATACTCTTAATATTGAAAATAGAAGACTAACAATTCAATTCTCTTTGGAGGTGCTGAGAGCATCAGAAACAACCGAAGGTGAGTTTTATAGACTTTTTAATTTTTTTTTTTTTATGTCTCTGCTTCTAATTGCTTTTTCCTGTTTTCCTAAAATGTATGCAATAGGCACTAGATTTTTGATGTGTGATTCATACTTTTCATATAGACTAATAAAAAATTCCTACTATGATTGAACACATCCATTTCTCAAAATATTTTTTCCTGTGGCTCCACAGAAATAGAAAAAAAAATGATGGCAATGGGAAAAGTTTAGTTAAAATGAATATCCTTATCCTCTGGTGAAGGAACAGTCTTCATTTCAAACCTAGTTCTCAGACTGCACATCCTTCTCTATCTGTGCTGGTCAAATTTTTCTTATTGATTTTAAAATAAGCCCCCTGGCTCCATTCTTGGATAGTTCTTCAGCTTTCAACTTTGCAATCATCCTTTTAGAACATACTAAATTGCAAAGATAACAGATGTAAATCATCAAACATTTAAAATAGTTTTCTGGAGGGAAGACTTTAAGTGAACACTCTAAGAAAAGTTTTTGAATAGTAAAATCAGTCCATAGCTACTAAGATGTAACTATAAATATTAATTTAAGCACTAGATACTGTGTGTGAGTTTAACTTAAATTATGACTGAAAGACTTCTCTGCCCTCCAAAATACCGTCTTTGTGACCGATCTGCTTTGCTAGTTCCTTGATTTGACACTGCCATTAGTCTTACCTCTGATAGAGACAACCAAAAAAGGCATTGTCTGCAGAAGAGCATCATAATGAGGCATAGGAAATATTTGAGAAGAAAGAGCAATGGAGTGGAAGATAAAAGTTTCCTCTATTCTCTTTTCATAAGCAGTGTGAAGTTGATTCATTTGGCTGACAGAAAGCCTGTTCTTGAGGACGAAATGAACCTGTCGTCACCAAGGAAGAAAGCAGGATAGGGTGAGATAATGATGCATGCTCAGTGGTGTCCAACTCTTTGCCGCCCCATGGACTGTAGCCCACCAGGCTTCTCTGTCCACGGGATTTCCCAGCAAGAATACTAGAGTGGGTTGCCATTTCCTCCTGCAGGGGATCTTTCTGCTCTGGGATTGAATTAGTGTCTCCTGCATTGACAGGCAGATACTTCACCACTGCACCACCCGGGATAGGATAATAGTGCCTGAGGAACCAGGAGGACAGCTAACTTGGGTGGGCCATGCCTGGAAGGCTACACAACCAGGCAGTGGCACATGAGAGGCAAGCCTGAGAAAAGAGGCTTCCCACAGATGCCCACCCAACCTGCCCCATGAACCTAGGAGAGTAAAAAAGAGGTCATCACTGAGACATACTGTACTTTATACCACCATGATGCCAATTACCACAAAAATTCAGATCAGAGAGGTAGTAAAGAAAGCCTGGACCAAAAATCAGGAGGCCCAAGCTCTAGACCCAGCTATTACTCCAGTTTTTTGTAAACTTGGGCCAGTTGCTTTACCTCTCTGTGTTTTGTTTTCTCTATTTATTAAAAAAAAAAAAAAGATTAAGTAAACTCTCAGATCCCATTAAGAACTGAGACCTTGTCTACGGCCATACCATCCTGAACACGCCCGATCTCGTCTGATCTGGGAAGAACTGAGACCTTGTGACTCTATATAATATACACATATCTTTTTTTAATATTTGTTTATTAATCTGAGTGCACCACCAGTCTTAGTTGCAGCATGTGGGATCTAATTCTCTGACAAGGATCAAACCCAGACCCCCTGCATTGGGAATGTGGACTCTTAGCCATTGGACCACCAGGAAAGTCCCAATATATACATTTTGTACAAAATTAGTGATACTTGGGTCAAATTTAGGCTAATCTTTTTTTCCCCATTTATTTTTATTAGTTGGAGGCTAATTACTTTACAATATTGTAGTGGGTTTTGTCATACATTGACATGAATCAGCCATGGATTTACATGTATTCCCCATCCCGACTCCCCCTCCCACCTCCCTCTCCACCCGATTCCTCTGGGTCTTCCCAGTGCACCAGGCCCGAGCACTTGTCTCATGCATCCAGCCTGGGCTGGTGATCTGTTTCACCCTAGATAATATACATGTTTCGATGCTGTTCTCTCGAAACATCCCACCCTCATCTTCTCCCACAGAGCCCAAAATTCTGTTCTGTACATCTGTGTCTCTTTTTCTGTTTTGCATATAGGGTTATCGTTACCATCTTTCTAAATTCCATATATATGCGTTAGTATACTGTATTGGTCTTTATCTTTCTGGCTTACTTCACTATGATGGGCTCCAGTTTCATCCATCTCATTAGAACTGATTCAAATGAATTCTTTTTAATGGCTGAGTAATATTCCATGGTGTATATGTACCACAGCTTCCTCATCCATTTGTCTGCTGATGGGCATCTCGGTTGCTTCCATGTCCTGGCTATTATAAACAGTGCTGCGATGAACATTGGGGTGCATGTGTCTCTTTCAGATCTGGTTTCCTCGGTGTGTATGCCCAGAAGTGGGATTGCTGGGTCATATGGCAGTTCTATTTCCAGTTTTTTAAGAAATCTCCACACTGTTCTCCATAGCGGCTGTACTAGTTTGCATTCCCACCAACAGTGTAAGAGGGTTCCCTTTTCTCCACACCCTCTCTAGCATTTATTGCTTGTAGACTTTTGGATAGCAGCCATCCTGACTGGAGTGTAATGGTACCTCATTGTGGTTTTGATTTGCATTTCTCTGATAATGAGTGATGCTGAGCATCTTTTCATGTGTTTGTTATAGGCTAATCTTTTTTAAAAGCAACTACTGTTGATTTACTGTAGTCCAGTAAGTCAGACAAGAGAATTGGAATTTAAAAGAACTGAGGATAATCTAGCCAAGCAGTGATGCTATTAGGCCTGGACTTTGACCTCCAGATTAAGAATGAGCAAGTCTGTCCTCAACTCAGAGGTAGAGGAGAAGCAAGCCTCCCTGGACTTTCTCTAGATTTCCTAAGTTTTCCTGGGTTCTATCCAGCCTCCTCTAAAGTATTGTTCAAAGAACATCTCAGCCACATTGCCAGCAGCTTGGTGAAAATCTTCTGCCTTCTGAAATGTAGATGACTGAAATTACAGTCTCAGGGTATTATGGCAGAGCAAATAAGGAAGTAAGGGCTTGGGTTAGTGAACATGTGGTCAACAGGACAATAAAGGAAACTATGTTCAAGGTCAGAATTTGTATAACCCTGGAAAAATTACTTATCGAGGGTAAGAAGAACCTTCATTTCTTATCCTATAAAAATCTGTAACCTAAAGCTAAACACTGATATTTTATACAATAAGGGAGAAATAAATTATTTGATTTCTCCCTGTCCACGATTGTTTTACATCTGTTAGTGAATCAATTTTTTTCTATTATTTTGTTCCAAAAGTGTGTGTTTAGCAACTACTATGATTTGAGATGCTGAATGGGGATTTTAAAATGAGATACTTCACTAGAAATTCTAGATGGAGAGAAGTCATAAACACAGAAGAACCTAAGTGTCCAAATGATTGATGCAGATATTAAGTGGGTTTTTTTTCTAATTTTTGACAGGCATGTCCAACAGAATGGAAGAGCCTGTTCTACTCAATCAAACAACTGTAGTGACATATTTTCACCTTAGAGGTTTATCTATAAATCAGAATGTGCAGATGGCTGCATTTGCCATGTTCCTTGTTTTCTATGTGCTGACACTGATTGGAAACATCCTCATTGTCATAACTATTATCTATGACCACCATCTCCATACCCCCATGTATTTCTTTCTCAGCAATCTATCCTGTATCGATGTGTGCCACCCCACCGTCACTGTCCCCAAGATGCTGATAGACACCTGGTCAGAGGAGAAGCTCATCTCCTTTGATGCATGTGTAACTCAGATGTTCTTCCTGCACCTCTTTGCCTGCACAGAGATCTTTCTTCTCACTGTCATGGCCTATGATCGGTATGTAGCTATTTGCAAACCCCTGCAGTACATGACAGTGATGAACTGGAAAGTGTGTGTGCTGTTGGCTGTGGCCCTCTGGACCGGGGGTACCATCCACTCCATCGCCCTGACCTCACTCACCATCAAGCTGCCCTACTGTGATGCTGAGGAGATTGACAACTTCTTCTGTGATGTGCCTCAGGTGGTCAAACTGGCCTGCACTGATACCCACATCATTGAGATTCTCATTGTATCCAACAGCGGGCTGATCTCCATGGTCTGTTTCGTGGTCCTTGTGGTGTCCTACGCAGTCATCCTGGTGAGTCTGAGGCAGCAGATCTCAGAAGGCCGGCGGAAGGCCCTGTCCACCTGTGCCGCCCACCTCACCGTGGTCACACTCTTCCTGGGACACTGCATCTTCATCTATTCCCGTCCATCCACCAGCCTCCCAGAGGACAAGGTGGTGTCTGTGTTTTTCACCGCTGTCACACCCCTGCTGAACCCTATCATCTACACCCTTCGGAATGAAGACATGAAAAATGCCTTGAACAAGTTAATGGGGAGGGTGGAGGAAAGAGGAAAAAAATGAAAATGTCTAAGCCCTTATGGTGCTTGGTGTTCCAAACTAAAGAAATTCCCAGCAAAGATATGTTACAAGCCACATTTATCAAACTGTATGCCTTGTAAAACTATCTTCCAGTTTAATATCTGACAATCATAGCAATTGCTATGATTTTTAACATCTTCCACAGGCTGGAAATTGTTCTAGGCACTGTGCAATTACTTAATTCTCACAACAACCCTGTGAGGTATGTATAAGCTTGTTTACACATGAAGAAGCCAAAGCTCAAAAAAGCAAACATCATGCCCAAGGTCACCCAGCTAGGAAATAATGAAGGTAGGATGTTAAGCCAAATGTATCAACACAAACATGTTATTTTCCTTACATCATGGTTCCTATCCATGCTTTTGTGTTAGGGTGATAACCAAAGTCTAAACAAATGTTCAGATTTCTGGGCAGCACTTGCCAACATCATTCACTCACACACTTGCCTAAAGCTTTGCAAACATTGGTAAAGCAGGCAAAGTAAGTTTGCAAATGACTTCAGTAATGCAGAAGGAAGACTTTGAATCACTGAAGTTGATATCCTCAAGTGTTCAGGAAAAACTCTTCCATTAAGACAATAAAATGGGGATATCTTATTATCCATTCATCTGACAAATATTTACTGAGCACCTATTGTGTGCTAAGTACTAGGTTTGTAATCATAAATAAAATACATAGTCCTCCTTTTATGCTGTTTAGAATTTAGTGAGAATAGAAGACAAGAATATGTGGGAAGAGAACTTGGGGAAGAATGGATGTATGCATATGTATTGCTGAGTGCCTTAGTGTTCACCTGAAACTATCACAACATTGTCAATCAGCTATACTCCAATACAAAATAAAAAGTTTTTTAAAGAAAGAAAACAAAATATAAACAAATTTTAATTACAGATCATGACAAATGCCATGAAAGACAATGCTGTTAAAGAGTTATAGAAGAGACTGTCTCTAGATTGCTTAGTTAAGAAGGGCCTCTCTGAGGAAATGCCATTTAAGCTAAGATCTAAAAGATGAAAAAAAGAGCCAACCATGAGAAAAGAAAGGTGATGAACTTTCTAGGCAGAGGAAATGGCAGATGTAAAGATTGATGTTTAGAAAGAACTTGGCCTGTTCCAAGAAGTAAAAGACCAATGTGTTTATAACTTTGACTGTGAGGCAGAGAATAGTGAGAGATGATATTGAAGAAGTAAAAAGAATACTTTCATGTCCTCTTAAGAAGTTTGGAATATTTTTCAGTATAGTAGGAAGTTATCAGAATGGTGCAAGCACAGAACAGACATGACACAATTTGTGTTTAAATGAACTCGTTCTAGTCATTATGTAGAAAATTCATTCAGCTCAGCATTTGTTACTAAACAATAGTCACTCAATATCACACTAATAGCTGGGAGAAAATGCCAAGTGGAAACACGGTTTCATAATCCAGCATCTTTGGTCCAGTTGTGGTGACACATATTGTAATGTCATGAAACATTGTACTCTGAGTGTAATGTGCTGAGTCGACTGGATAACAGGGGATATGAAGAGGATATCGCAGGCAACAGTGTCTCCTACCTGTGTACAAAAAGCATAGCATAATGGGACCCAATAGTTCACTCTGACTCCATCAGTGAGAAGGGCATACTTAAATGCAGGGGGCTTTCAAAGGCAATAAGTAATAACAATTGACCAAAGGCGTGGTCAATAAATGTGTGGGTCACAAGACCCATGTCATATTTTTATGGTACTTTTGCCAGGGTTGTGTTGAGAAGGAAATTTAAGCCATTTAAGCCATTTCAGTTGTACAGAAGTATGGTTATCATGGTATTAAGGTATTCTATAGGTTTTCTGGGCAACACTATTTAACTTACAACAGACAGTACTAATCACAGAGTAGTCTCATTCCCAAAGATAACTCTGTGCATAGTATAAAAACTAATTCATTGGGACTGGTTGATGGAATAACTAAACTGAATTTGAAAATTATGGAATTTGTATGAAATAAATGCTTTTATTATAGGCAATGGCAGACAATCAGGAGGTACAGCCCCTCAAAGAACCCAAATAGAATCACCTTGTGTAGGAATCACACAGACAGACACTCACAATGGGATAGTAAGACAACGCTTCATGGCAGTCCTTAAGTGGTAGCTGGTAAAACTACAAACGAACAATCTTTTTTTTTGGTAGTTGCAGGCAAAATTTCTAATACTACCAGTCTTCAATCACATTAATCCTCATAACTCTCTAGAGAAGTAATGTAAAACATTTATTCTCCATTTCACAGCAAAAGGTTTTTAGACTCAGAGATAAAATAAAATGTGCTTACTTACTCATTGAATAGGTAGGAGAGTAAAAAGTAGAATGAAAATACCTTGACTCTTGGTTCTGTGACTGACTTACTTTAAAGAGGAGACAGGAATCACTATCACACAGAAGTTTGCTCAGCAACTTTGTAATAGGCAATTGAATTCCTCAGATTACAATCATCTCTGCCATAGAGTAACTAGTTGCCATAAGTAGAAATAAACAAATGAGGATTAGGAATTTATTTCTGCACAAAAGGTACTAATCAGTGTGAAAATCTGTTCATATAAAAGTCAAAAAGGTAAAAGCATAATTAGATAATTTTTCTCAGTTTTCCAGGTATGTATAGTAGTGATATCTAGGCCCGATTTCACATACAAATACCTAAAACTTTGATTTTGACTTGGGTTATATTCATGAAATAGTAGGGGATTGACAATGCACTGCATTTTTTTGCCAAATTGCATATAATAGGGTTTAGATATCCCTCAGTTTAACAAGCTGTTTTTTATTCTTTGTCCTTTTGAGAACTTTATGTCATTTCAATCATTTCTTACCTTTCAACCATGGTTAATGAGTCACTCACTCTGTGTTGGGTATGTGTATGTCCATATTATCTGGAACCCAATTCCCTAAAGTATTCTAAGCATTATTTTTACAAGTTAACAGAACTTGGCAGAATAATAGCCCAAAGGGCTTCAATCAATTCTAATTCCTTTCAGAATAATCAAATAAATATTAGGTATTTTTATTATTAAGTGTATTCTATTTCATTCTATTATCTCCATTAAAATTGATATAACTATTTTATATGGCAGCTCTCTGACCATCTATAGGGTCTCTAATCCTACTCCCTTTGGTCACAGTATACCATCATCCTCTTTACCTAAGGAATTTGCCTGGAGTCTTCTTGATTTGGACTTTCCCATTTCACAGTGAATTATTATACTTCTCCCAAGAGTGATATTAGTTAATTCAGGAAATTAACACATAGAAATTATGTAAATCCAAGTACTTTCTTAACTATTTTCGCCTATTTCTTCAAATAAATTTTAGAATATTATTGAAAATTATTGACCAAAAAAAGTCCTGTGGAGTTTTTAAGTAAATTAAATTTATAAATCAATTTAAGGAAATCCATTATATTAGCAATTTTTTATTCTTATACAAGAACATGTCTATATCTCTATCTCTCTACATTTTCTCAGCACGTTTTGTAGTTTTTATCATAGAGACATATATGCTACCTTTATTGGGTGAAAAGAAAATCCCACATAAACAAATCTGTATTGATTTTTTATTGCAGCTATAACAACTTTACTACAAACTTTGAAGTTTAGCCAACATAAATTTATCTTCTTACAGCTCTGTCAGTAGTTCAATACAAATTTCACTGAACTAAAATCAAAGGTCAACAGGGCTACACTGCTTTCTCCTTCTTCTTTGTCCCAGGTTTATGGAGGACTAATTGACAAAAATTGAGTATATTTAAAGTGTACAGCATGATAATTTCATTATTACCACAATCAATTCTAATTAACACAGCCATCACCTCACACAGTGCGTCTGTCTGTGTGTCTGTCTGGTGAGGATACTTAGGATCTGTTCTCTCAAAAATTTTCAAGTATACAATAGAGTATTATTAACTGTTGTCATCGTGCTATACATTAAATCCCCAGAACTTATTTATTTTACAACTGAAAGTTTGGCTGAATTATTTTCTGAAGGCAATAGAAGAGAATCCATTTCCTTCCCTTTTTCAGTTTCTAGAGACCACCTAGATTCCTAAGTTAGTAACCCCCTTCTCTGTCTTTAAAGCCAGCAATATTGAATCTCTCTGACTTTTATAGCCATATCTCCCTCTGATTCTCTTTTGTTTCCCTCTTCTATCTTTAAGAACATTTGGGATTACATTAGGTCTACCTGGATAATCTAGGCTACTAGTTCTATCTCAAAGTCAACTGACTAGCAAAGCTTAATCCCTGTTTGCTGTTCAACCTAAAATATTAACAGGTTCCAGAGACTGGATGTAAACATCTTTGGGGGACTGTTACTTTGTTTACCACATTACCTGTAACCCATTCTTCTTTCCTTTGTCGCAAATTCCAAAAAGTTCTAACTAAAT